ACTTTTCAGAATTATTTTTTGTTCAAGTGTTGAAGTTAGAATTCATGGCTCATTTGACCGGGTGCCAGTAGCTTAACGGTCTATGAGGTTGCCCTGTAACCTAGAGGTCCTGGGTTCGAACCCCAGTGTGTGTGTACTATGAGGAGTCCGAAACTAGGACGAAACAGCTGTCGAGTACTTCCAGGTATTCCAATGGTCCCCTAACCGATGTCAGAGCATCATGAAACCCTATAACCTATTACTTCCTTGTCAACCTCAAAATGTGGGTGCACTTTAGACGCCACCGTCGTCTTATATCATAATATTGTCTCCAATTTAGACAGAGGTGCCAAATAGATTCTGTGTGTCTTCCTAGGGTGCACATCTGCCTTTGACTCAGTACCTAGGCCTCTTTTGTGTCAAACAAGCTTGCTGCAACACAAACAGAGTGCTGGACTAGTAAATGGTTGTATTCCGATTTTTCTGACAGGAAGCACTACACTGTTTACAATGTGAGGTCTTCCACCACTTCACTTCCTCAAGGTGCTGTTCTTTCTCCTCTCCTGTCCTCTTTCTTCTCACATGACTTGCCGCATTCTGACGAAGCCAATTTTGTTAAGTATGCCTATGATCTGACTGTTTCGATGTCTGTTACCTCCCGGTCAGACTATCCCAAAATATGAATAAATTTTGTTAGAATTTAATCAGTGGTCCTTTCCAACTGGTCTAAAGATTAATCCCTCCAAATGTCACCTTAAGACGCAAGCGCAACTTACATGAACTGGTTGGTCCTCATGGTTTCACGATCATACATGGTATAGAGGTTGAAACTAAATCGAAGGTTAGATACTTTGAACTATGTATTTCCTCTGATGTTCCCACGTTTTCAGTATGATATTTTGTTTAACGTTCTAAGTGAGAAAGTTAAGACGATGTTATATCAATCCGTGTTTACTTTCTAAGTTTGTTAATTCTTGTATTCTATCTATACTTTTCTATAACTACCCCTTAATCTTTTCTGGGCTACTTAAGAAAAACTGTGTTACACTAAGAAGGGCACTGAAAATTGTCAGTAGGCCAAGTGGGGTGAAACTAAACCAACTCGTTAATACTGTTGCAGATAGACACATTAACTCCTGCAAGAAATTAGCGAATATTATCCAGTCTGACACTAAACATCTTCTTTATACACACTTCTCCCCTCGAATCTTATCAAGTAGAAATAGAAGCAACTGTTGAAGGCTGTATGCTCCAACAAATAAGTATTAAAACTCTACAATACCTTATTTGGCATATATTTTATGTGATGAGAAAGGTATAAGTCAGAATATTACCAACTTACTGTGAAACACACTAAGTAAACGGCCCTTTTTTCTTTTCTTCCATTTAAATATCGTAGTTAATGTTTTCACTTAATTTAATCTTGTATTCATGTTCTTAGTTGAACAATATTGTCAGTGTAAATCCCCAGTAGTAATTATTACTCCTGTGAGGAGAAATTTAGATGCAATATTGCACTACATGCTGAAAATTTCATAACTGTACCCAAAATACTGTTCGGAATAAAGCTATTATTACTATGTTCATTGAAAAAGTTCTAACGTTTCACTTCTGACTAACAGCTATGCATGATAAGTGAACTTAACCATTTTACATAAGGCTACATTTTGTTTTGACTGTGATCGGTTAAAAGTAGTTGGCAATGGTCTCTACTTCATCTACTTTTCATCATAAGATTTCATCGGAAATGGTGTGGTTATAGCTCAAATCATATAGAGTAACGAATTGCGATTTATGTGACTGGACATTATGAGTTACATCTGAACAAATTGTAGATTTTCTAAACAAATAAAATTCTCACTAACAGTAAATGATGCCAGGTTAATATAAGGCTAAGAACACAACCAGATTACTGGTGTCAACAACTGTTGAACATCCATCAATCCAGATTTTCTGACTTAAAGATTCCCAGTCCTTAACTGGTGCCTTTGTCAATAGACAAAGTAATCCTGCTTCAATTCGTCTCGTTGAGTCGATTACTACAAAGCGATCTCAACCCAACTTTTGTGCACAGAGGGAAACCATGGTGAGTCTCACCTTACCTTGCAAACAGTTACTAGATGCATTACATAATTGTGTGTTTCATTACATGATTACAGACACATAATTTTTTTTACTCCACTGATCTCAACTCAGTTACTCGGTCGCAATTAATATCTAAGTGTTTTGTGGTATATTACTGAGCAATTCTGTCTCTGCATTTATTAGTTGAGCAAATAAGATTTTGTTGTAAGTCATTTTCCAGCCAACTCAAATCTTCCCCAAACTTAATACTAATAGTTGGCTTCTTTCCATATTGTGTAACTAACGTCATTAGCTCACTTTTTTCTGTTCTCTAAATCTATAATCGCGTCTAAATGTGTTCAGAAGAAAAAGCGACTGTCTATAGATTTTCATATGACTGCCACTAACTTCCAGTAGTCAGATAAAACTATAATGCCTACAAAGCAATACGCCTCTTGTATTTTGCTAAGCCACTGTATCTCTATCAGTCACTACAATGTGACTATTGTTACAACTTAGCCGTAATTTTATTTGAACCACAATCCTTCTGATTTCCAGTGGAATTTCAAAGTATTTCAAGCCATAAAAATCGGATAACTTTCTTTTTTCATCTAAATAAAAGATGAGCACAAGATATAAATACTATTATTCTTTTGACTTAGTAAATAATCTTCATTTCGTGTACCACTCGAATTTCTCTGTGAATAAAACTGTTGTCCACCCTCACTCCCTGAGTTCAATAAACATGCGTCAGTCGTTGTTGTCACTATGACATTTTCACAAGTGGGTCTGTTACTGAAAATCAGTACCACTAGTCATATAATGAGTTGGAAAGTCCTCAAAGCTGTTACTGTTTATTTTTTTACCGAATTTCCGGTGATATTCTAATCACCGTTTTCGTAGTTGTTTTAAAGTGAACTGGTGGTGTTTTCAAAATACTTTCATGTTGTTTTTTTCTAATTAAAACAAAGGTTTAAAACTGTGTGAACAGATTTCAAAAATCACTTAAACGTATTATTTAGTTGATGGCAGCCAATGACTAGCAGTGGAATCCAGGACTTATATTTCGTCCGCTTCTGAACTCGTTATCTAGATTTACAAGGATTTCACTTGAACGCAGCACTAACCATTGTCCACTAAACCATTTAGCCACTACAGATCTAAGAATGAAATATGAAAAAAGTACAAAATCCTATGGTTGATGTGCAGAGCAGTAGTAACATAAAATAGATCAGCTCTTATTTATCAGCATTTGGTTATGCATGGTGGCATAACCTACCAGATACCACATTTTCGTAACATTGCACATTTTGGATGGTTTCGAGAACATCCGCAATACTAAGAAAAGTAGATATGGGTTGCACGTGTTTACTGTTGGGTTATTTAACTGTAACTGGTACTCTGTTGTGCTGAACTCATTATTTAGATAGTTTTGTGAACGAGTATATCAAAAATCTAAGTAGCTCAAGTTTGCGAGTTCGTTAATAATTGTCAGTAAGACATGGTTATTCCTAATTCTGTGACAGATCACATTTGTGAAGTAAACTTGATACTCTTTCAAAGGCTCAATCCTTCTCTTGTTTACTACTAATCTGAAATTTAATAAAATCATAATCTAGACTGATAGAAAATTAACGACATAACTAAACTGATAGTTTCCTTTGACCTGTTATCTTTAAAGTTTGCTTTATTTATTTATTCATTTATTATCACTACTTTATTTTTTTGCTTTCCGAGTGGAACATAGGGCTTCTTATTTTTACGAGGTGGGTTTTCTAGCCTCACGCCTAACTTTTCCTCTTTGTTGAGTTTACTACCGGCTTAACAAGGTCTAGGAGTGAGTCGGAAGGGGATTAAACCCTGAACCACGTGCGTGGCTGATGAGTGTTCAGTTGCTGAACGACCGACGCGACTGTTTCCATATATAGAGACTTTGGAAACCACCTTCTATATCATACATTATAGGTGAACAATGGATTTGTCTACATTTCAGACCATGTTTAGTACACCCAAATATATCTGTTACATTGAACTATACTCATATATTTTATTTCTATGCGAGTCTTGTTAGTAAATTAGAGATAGTGAGAAAAGACAAGATTACTTCAATAACTTCAGTCTGTATCCATTTTCAGTTGCTCACTACTCACGGCTGTGATATGAGCTGCTTCAAAATTCATTAATTCCGGTGTTTATGAGCATCAACTTTTCTGTGAAAGGAGATGTTTTGCAATTCACTTTAGTGTATCAGTAATACGTGTTCATGTGGTGGAAAGAGCCTTTCAAAAACTGTACAATTTACAATGTCTTCATCTTCAAATGAATTTTACAACCACTGTAGCTAAAGAGTATTCTGTACTAAAATGATTCTGTTCGTATATGATTTATAAGTTAATGTTTTTTTTATACTGGACCTTATGTGCAGTCATACCAGGAGCGCAGCACACTATAAATGTTTTGCCAAAAAAGCTAAATATAATGAAGTCATTTACATGGTGTATTCTTTACTTTTATCGGAAAGCTTTGATTGTGTACCAAATAACAACTTGATCCTCTCCCTGCAATTCATCATGACCGAAATTAGCAACAGAAGGCCTAGTTATGACATATGGACAATTATGTATCATCCAATCACCTGACAGAGGTGATTGCAATGAAATAGTGACCTGGTTAGCGGAAAGGTCCAGTAGCTCAGGTGACCGAAGTTCTCACTTTGCTGTTAATCATCGCCCATTATATCAACAGCAGTCTGCTAAACCAAGACTTTCTTAGTTAGCCTCAACACTAATTAAACTTAGTTTAGAGGTGAATAGTTTCAGCATTGATTTATTAATGTACTGTTCTTCAGACATCATTTTCCACGAAGAAGAGAACAGATAATCTATCCGTTGTTTCTTTTTCTTCACCATAGTTGTATAAAAACTTGATTACCACATATTTTATTTCACTTTTAACAGGAATACTAACCAAACCTAAACTTGAAGATTCTTTCAGTGCTATAGATCAACACATCACACCAATACCTGACAGTTGTAAACTGCATTACAATGACAATCATAATACAGGATCCACTGGGCAGTTATTGCTAAATGCCGAACAGTCTTTAAACAATTTAACATCATCACAATTACCACTATCATCAGCTTCTATGGCTTCCTTTTTTCCTTCCCTTAACCTACTACAAAGTCAACAGTTAAAAAGGCAGTTTAATTATACTTTTGATAATTCATTCTGGAATCCAGTATATGATTATTCCCCGGATAATGGAGGCGGAGGAGGCGGTGGTGTAAGTACATGGAAAAATAATGTCAGTTCATATTCCACACCAGTTACCTTTAATTACAACACCACGAATGATCTTGTTAACCAGACAAGCGTACCACTTCCTGGAGCCGCAATCATTTCCAGGAATAATAATAATAATACTAACTCAGTAGCAAATACTGACATTAAAACAAATACTACTACTCATAAACATAAAAGTAGCAAGAGTCCCACTACTACGAATACTAGCAGCAGTAGTACTAGCAGCATACGTGAATATAAAAATAAATCGAGGAAAACAAATTCTGTCAGTACTGTATACAAAAAGTCTAACAATACACTAAATCATTTATCCCCATCCAACAGTACGCAAGTACAAGCTCAGTGTGTGAATGAAGATGATTTCGTCAGTTTGAATGACAATGAAAATATTGATGACAATGATGATGATGACGATGAAGATAACAACAGCAAGTCCAGTAAACGAAGAAGACACAGGTAAGCCAACTAACTAACTAGCTGAATGATTCTCAAATTATTTAATTCAATTTGAATTTTCCACTTGGTTGACTGGACCGAAGTGTTCGGCCTCTACTTACGTGTCGGTTCCTTGTGCGCATGCTTCAACGATATCTGAGGACTTAACTTAAAGTTATTTGCTAAGTGGTGACTAGTAGTGGAGTCTGAGACAACGCAAATTTCATCCCCTTTGGGACTCGTCATCTGGAAGTATATGCATTCCCCAGTGAGTGATGGTGTTCCCATTGTGGCTCGAACTCAGTGTCCATCACATCAAACGCATCAAACGTTATTCACTAGACCACTTGGGACAGAAGAGTTTGAGATGATGGGTACAGGACTCGAACCTCAGGGGGAACATCACCACTCACTATGGAATGCAGGTACATTCAGATGACGAGTCCTGAATAGGAGGAAGTGTGCGTTTTCCTGGATTCCATCTCTAGTGACTACCCAACAAATTATTTCAATCCTAAAATTAATTTCTAAATTTCTGTCATTAATCAATGAATTTCCAGGCATGATATTTATATTGCAGCTTCCAATAGGATAGAATCCCTAAAACTTCTGTAACAGAAATCCCAACTCACAGTGCAATGCTCTATCAGCATTCATAGTCCAGAGGATGGATAATTTATCATCAGTTCAGACTAAGTCTTAACATCTACCACTGTATTTGACATATGACTCCACATAGCACTGCATAGAATACTTAACTTTCAAAGAACAACTCGTATCGCTTTCTCTGAATTCAAACTTTACAATAATAAAATATTATACTGTTGCATATGCCGTATAAATTCATCAAATCCTTGGCTTTAATGCCAATAAATACTTCATTCGTTTTGGGATTATTATGTTCTCTAGCCGGTGTAGCTTTTTTTGATATTAAATAGTTACAGTGTTAAGCAAAAGGTGTATTCAGCAAAATATCTGCCTTCAGTCTTAGTGTTTCTGTCCTGTACTTAGTATATTCAAATTTATTTGCCACGTATGATGTTTAGTGTCTGACATGCTGAGTCTGGTTAGTTAGCCAATGAACTTGTACAAAGTATTTTGAATAACTTTTGCTGATTTACGTGCTCAGGAATCGGTTGGTTTTTATTGAAGTATTCAGGTTAAATCATTAACAGTCAACAGCTTTGAATTTGAAATGTTCTTCTTCATTGCCTAAAAATTATAATTTCTATACAGTTTCTTGGGAGGGTGAATAGAAGACCACTACGATCACATTAGTCTTTAAATGTTATATTTCATTACCCGTGTTTAACATCTACAACTCAAGTTCATCAGTGATACAGACTGACGCATCTGCATGTGTCCGTTGTCTTTCATACACCACTGTCATCCTAGAAGACTTGGTGAATCCCAATAGTCATAAGTGATCTCTCCGAAAACTAACAGTTATTTTATAGGTAATTCATCATTAGTTCTAAAGAAGTGATTTCAGACGTTAACTCGTAAGACAAAATGCCATCCAGAAAGCACAAAACATATACAGTTTTTTTTTAAATATCTATAAACAGTGATCTCTAGGGGCAAACAACTATTTATGCTATTGTCAAATATCTACGATACTTCAGTTTATGTAATTCTGTTGAATTTCTCCTTCCTTTTGTTCCTTTCCTAATTGATATTCAACATACCTGTATTGTAGGACAATATTTACAAGTGGGCAGATAAAAGAATTAGAGAAGGCATTCCATGAAGCCCATTATCCAGATGTCTATCAACGTGAATTACTGTCATTGAAAGCTGAACTACCAGAAGATAGAATCCAGGTAAATATGTCATCTTTTGCTTACATGCGTTTGCCTCTCTGATTATATTGACTAAATTACTTCGGAATTATGTTTGAAAAGATTGAATTTATTCTGTACGTTAGTTCTTCTTATATGGCAGCATGCCTAACCACTTCTGTATTATTCACTTGGTATTGCTTATCATACTTTATAGAATTATCTTATGTTCCAAGGGGAAGACTTGCTCCTACAGTTGTAACTGATAAATTTAAAGTATGGCAAAGTGTTTGTCTTAATCCTATTTCCAAATATTATTAAATATAATCATGGACGACTCAAGTATTTTTTTAATGACAACTAGCACGAATTTCTTCATCTAGATAGCTGTTCCTCTGCTCTAAGATGTCACTTATACTAGCAGCCAAAATGCACTTAAACACCGCCTTCATAATGAAAATTTAGAAAACTTGAAAACAGTAGGAATCATTTAATTGAATTTTAGATTTTCCCGTCGATTGATTGCACTGAAGTGCTCGGTCTCAGGTTGACATGTCGGCTTCTTGTGCAGGCGCTTCAACGATGTCTGGGCGTGTAATTAGAGGTTAATTGGTGGATGGTGACTAGCAGTGGAATCCAGGATGCGCATTTCGTGGACCAAGTGGTCCAGTGGATAACGCTTTGGCGTTTGAAATTATGGACACTGGGTTCCAGCCTCGGTGGGAACATGATCACTCACTGCGGAATGCAGGTACATCCAAATGACAAGTCCCGAATAGGACAAGATGCGCATCTTGGATTCCAGTGCTAGTCACCATCCACCAACTAACCTCTAATAGGAATCATATCTAAAAATGATATGGGTGACGTGAATAAAGAGAACAAATTGCTTTCTTAATGTAGTCCACATCTCATTTTTTTTATAGTATTACTACCTTTTATTCGGAATATCAATGCAAAGAAATCGTGGAATGACGTAACTTCTGAATTTCTTATTTAAATTATTTAAGAACAGGTTGTTTCAAAAGCATATTAAATATAAATAGGCTAACTCAGAACGGCCTTATTTAGGAATACACAGACTCTACTCCTGTGTGATAGTTCTAAATTATTTAGTTCTTCTGCAAATAAGTTGAATGAAATAGAATGAATATTTTGGAATACAGATCTGTGGTTACTGATTAGTAGTCTAGGCTGCATTAGTAATATTTCATTATATTTAAGTGAATGGCGATCCTCATTTCAGGACCCATAGGTCAAATGGTAGAGCTCTAGGCTCACAGTTTGAAGACTACCGGTTTGGGTCCTGCTGCAACAAAGTTTGTTAGGTTCAGCTATTGCTCAGTGCATCAGTAGGACAATGTGTCAATCCAAGATTATTCTAGATGGTTTGACCATCTATTTACTGTACTTATTTGATTTCTAAAGTAATGCACAGTGGCGTTTTTATTGTTCAACACGACAGAATCATCTCCATCTATAGCGAAAATGGACTCCTACTAGTTTCACTTTGTGCTAGCTTCTTTAAATTTATTGATATAAGTATAAAACTTGGGCACTGTGGTAGAATATAACTCCATTGTGGATGAGATTTTATTTTGATAAATTACACAGTGTTATACAGTAATATTAAGTGATGACGTTTCGAGCACGAACTATTGCTCATAATCATGTCATATTAAGGTTAAGAGTAAACAAAACCCAAACATCCCAAAATTTACTAAATAACTGAACTGGGTTTTCAAAGCAGAAATTTGCACAAAAGTACAATTCTTTAAACTGCAACATACTCCACATAGCAAATATTAAGGCAGAGAAAAAAATGTAAAATAGTCGTTGAAAAAGAGAAAAGTACAAGAGGAAAAATGATTACATGAAGGACAATAAGAATTTAATGAATGTAGAAGAGCACATACCGTGAATAAATCTGCACCACTAAGAGCTATCTCATCAAGTGTCTCCAATCATTCCTTCTTAGAGTCTGAACGATCCAACCCAGGAAGTCTACACCCCATACCTGGCTTAAGCCCATAGTGAAAGATTCCATGGACTGATAACATATTCTGGTTTGATCCCCATGACTGTTTTTCAGCTCAGTCAGCCATCAGAATAAGTAAGAACCAAACCTAGAGCACAAAAATTCCCCACCATGTTCTGAAGTAAATACAAACTTATTTCCATACAGTCTAGCTGAAATATTCCTGATTTTCTTCCTTTTTTTGAGAATGAATCATGAATGACTCTTATAATTTATTTCTCTTACAGGTATGGTTTCAAAATCGTCGAGCTAAATGGCGTAAAACTGAAAAGAAATGGGGTAAAAGTAGCATAATGGCTGAGTATGGTTTATATGGAGCTATGGTCAGACATTCATTACCACTACCTAAAACTATTCTCAAGTCAGCACTGGATAACAATGACGAATCATGCGCACCTTGGTTACTAGGTAAGTTGAGAATCATACTTTGATTATCATTGCCCGGGTAGCCGCTTAACATTTTTCTTCTTTCTAACCACTGTGTAATGAGTGATAGTCAAAAGAGAAAATTATGATAAGATTTTTGTCATAATTGAGGTTCATCAACCTGCATCGAGTTTCCTGTTGATAAACGTACTCTGCAACTACAACTTAGAAAACACCTGTACAATTTAGTATACGCAGTGTGTTAGGATAGTCAAAGTCATTTCACTTGACGTATATTGTTACCAGAGCTCAAGAAATCTCGCTTTCGAGAATGTAGACAGATTGGAGCACAATAGATTGATATGTTATATTTTCTTCAACTCATCATTGCTTGAAAATATTTTGTAGCTACTAGAAACAAAGTATGGTAACATCATCTTCAACAGGAATTATCTGATTGTGACGTGCAGTCACCCGGTATTTGTATAATATTGATTGCCAGTCCAGACTCATAAATCTACTTTGCCAGTTATCACTTAGCCAGAAAACTGATTAAATGAATTTCACAGACTTTCAGTTCTCAAAGTCAATCATGAATGTATGTACTTCCTACTTTGAAATTCCCTCTGTCGATGTCTTTTAGAAAAAAAATTAGTCACCTGAAAGTATTTTTGATTTCTTTAAGTGAAAATATTGCTTTCACATCAGTTTAAGATAGGCACAGTTCAAGTACAGTTTTACAACTACTTGTTCCCCAATATGAAATAATAAACGAAGCCGATCATCATACATGAAACAACGTTCAGTTTTAATCTAATGATAGTAAGCGAAGTTTATAGTTCAATATCTATCTTACTGTCTGCAGACTTTGCCTGATGTTTAGAAGCAGATAGCAGAATTGCAAAGTGAAACCAACTTTATATAAACAGTAGTTAGAAGGTGATTTATCCTAACGATAATAATATAATATGGTGATCGATGTCCAGTCTGGAATAAACCAATCAGAATCGGTCATAATTACAGACTAATTTACATATTCACGGTAATTTTTCGAACTGCACACTTACTTTCTGTCTCGTTTTTTATGTGCTCTCGCCTAAGTTGTGAGCTAAGAGGGGGGCTAGCCGTTGAATACGTTGTTGGTGTAAACAGGAGATAATCGTGATAACCGCGTCTATCACCAGCTTGGCACCCATATTTCAATTCAACGTTTTGCAAAATATAAAATAATAATAATTTTGTAATGTACAGCTGTTTCGTCCTAGTTTGGGATTCTTCATCAGTACGCACCACCGGGGTTCGGAACCAAGACATTCCGTTTACAAGGGTCGTGGACCACTACATCGAGCCCCAGTGGCTTGAAGCCTACGAGGTCTCCTTGTAACCAGAAGGTCCTGGGGTCAAAACACTGTAGGTGTGTGCTGATGAAAAGTCTCAGACTAGAATGAAACAGCTGTCCAGTACTCCCAGGTTTTCTAGTGGTTGTCTAACCAATGTCAGCTCATGATGGAGTCCTGTAGACAGTCAAACGAAATCTCTACCAAACCATTACTTGAAAATTTTGTGGTGATGTATAATGACAAACTTTAGGAATGAAAAGTTACTGGACAGCTGTTTTAGAAACGATCAATAAATTGTGTGTAGAAGTTGAAGACATAACTGCCTTCGTCGTATAGGGAGAAAGTTCCTACCTCAAATTCTGTAGCTATCATAAATAGGAAAAATACTTCATAATAAATTTCCTGCTGATTGCTTCTTACCAGTGCGTCGTGATGGCGAGCCACCTAGCATCGTGGCCACATTGAAAAACTTGACTGATAGAAATCAGTCAAACTAGACACACTACACTAGTTACTAACTAGTGTGCACTCAAAGACGGCGCCTAATTTAATCATGATCAGAGCTCAGTCAACTAGCAGATGTATGCAAATTTTCCGAACAAACAAACTGAAAGTTCCCATTTCATGTCGGTTGATAGGCCTGACATTTAACTATGATTATAATCACAAATATTTTAATTGCATTTCATACTACTATTATTATTTCATGTATTCACACCTTTGATTAAATCTCCTCACAGGAAATAATTTCTTAAAAACTATATATGTGGGATTGTACAGCTTGATAATAAATTCGTTTAAAAGAGTCTCTTCGCCGAATCACTTGTTTTGATTATCTATATGATAGGCTGTAGTCAACAGTTATTTCGTAATATTACATTTGTAATCCTTATTTGTATCATACATAATTTTCGTCTTGTCACTCGTTACAATTTTATTGATTCTATTTATTTTTTTACCATAATTTAACCACAAAGACTATTTGCTGAGAAATGCCACTTCAGAAGCTCTCATTTACGAATACACGGACTGATAATTACTCCCAGGCGCGCACACACACACTCACACTCAGACGAGGGTAGCGAAAGGATTTAAATATTTACTGAAAATAAAAATAGATTTAATATGAAAAATGCACTTGACATGGGAAATTTATTCCCTCTCATTTGATTGACTGTGTAATATTCATAAGGATGATAATAGTTGTTTTGTTATTAGTTAGAATTAATTGCCTATAGTCTTTAGCTTGCATTAACACACACATACACACAAACATCCTGCAATTAACGCGAATTATATAAGACGCAGAACACCTTACATATAAGGACAACGACAATAATAATTAGAAATTCTCCTCTCTCTCAGTTATCGTTGATTATCCAGTAATATGCGCACTGACTGACTGACGAGTTCCATTTGTCTTTGGGAAAATGCACATATAGAGATTAATTATTCATTTTGTCTGTCTATAAACGATCATTTACGGATTGAAATCTATGCAGTAAACAAGTATTTTAAAAAAAAAGAATAGCTTTGGATAAGTGAATCCTCGAAAAATCCATCTTATAATCAGTTATCAATTGGGATAAAATAGCTCGGTTTCGTGGGGAATAAAGTTATGCACCTTTGTGTGTGTGTGTGTGTGTTCGAGTGGACGGGTGAATGTGGATATATGATTAATTAATTTGTATTGCCTTAACTTCGTTTACTTTCTTCCCTCCCTTCCCCCTACTTCTGCCTCTCTCCACCTTTACAACATAACAAGTTTTTCTTTTTGCCCAGTTTTCCTTTTCTATTGCCCCACTTATCCCTGATAAAATTTGTTCAGTGTTCACTGTTTCGTTAAGCATTACACATGCAAATATAAAGTATGTCCTTCATTCTCTTTGCCACTTATAAATATAATGCGAAGCAGATTCAGATATCTTTCTCACCTTATGAAAAAGCGAAGAACAGGATAACGATGAAATTAACCGTCCCCTGTTCCCTCACGCCCACCAACCCAATCATCCCGGTATTCCTGACTTCCATCCGAACATGAAGAGTTACTGTTGTGAAATTTTAATCTAAAGAAATCATTAGATCAACAACAACAACAACAACAGAAAAAGGAAGAGGGAAAAAGGCTGTATGGTGAACGGTTAATATTTTACATTAACATATATCTAATGTTAGCCAATTTCCAGGCCTTCGAGAGGAAGAAAGAAATACTTCCGTATTTTTTTTTCCCATCGTTAATTATCAGAAGGATAATAAAATAACTTATTAAATAGATTATAATGAACATGGCTATCTATCAGTGTAACTTATTTCGCTTCCCAATGGATTGTGCGAAGTTAGGCAACGGTTATCATGAGTGGAAACGCTTAGGATATACATACATACATACACATAAAATGAAATAAGGTAGCCTAGTTAGTATACTACATACACGCACACATATGCACATGCAATTGCAAAAAACTGCATAATGAACACATCTCATTCTTACATAATCAATACATCATACACACTTAGATAAGTATTTCCTGATGATGATGATAATAAAGAAAATAATAATATAAAACAACACAGAAGTTGTAGTTGAATGAAAAGAACGGAAAAGGTCGAACAATAAAACAGGGTAAAGAGGAGAGGAAAGATAGAGATAATTAATTAATTTAAAAACGATAACAGTAATAATTATAATAATAATAATAACAATAAATGCACGCTATTTTTCCCAACGCTTTGATTACAGATTGTATAATTACTTAATAGTTCACGGTGTATTCTGTGTGCAGATAGAACTATATATTTAATGTGCGTTTATATGTGCATAGCGTGTGGATGGTTGCATGCAGTGTATATGCATATATTTTTTTTATAGGCAATCAGTCAGTCAGTTAGTCAGTTATCCAGTTAACTAACTTTGTGTATACGCGCGTACAAGTGCACGTTATAATTAAAACCTTAGTTACAAAAATGTTGCCTGCTAGTTAAATGATAATAATAATAATAACTCAACAGGAAGTCTTCTTGAATTTTCCTGGAAAAAAAATAAAATAATTCCTACTACATACAATTTTATTTCATCCATCAGCTTAATTCTTCATTACATAGTAGGGTGCCATTTTCGTTTTCTAGGCCTTTCTTTGCCTAATAATTCACCGTAGCCATCTAATTCTCCTAGTTCCTGACGTTCATTTTTTTTCCCGAGATTTGTTGTATCCTCTTGTGTGTATGCTTGTGTGCGTGCGTGAGTGCGTGCGTGCGTGTGTGTATCTGTGGCAGTACAAACAGACATGGGAATAAAACGAAAAAGGTGAATCAAAATTTATAAGAAATAGATCTAGGGAGAAGAGGAAGAAGTAGAGAGGACAAGAGTCTAAACAACAACTGGATAACTTAATGACTGATAACTGAAATTCAGCTGATAATTCACGCTAATTTTAATAAGAAAATTAAAAACAAATATTATGAAACAATTCGATTCGTTTCTGCCTGTGAACAATGCACGAATATTTGAAGGATAAAAGAGTATGTGTACATGTGTAATTAATTGTACACGGCTTCCTTCTGTCCTCCTCTAGTTTTATATAGCAACTAAAAGAGAAACTATGAGAGCAAAGAGTGGAAATTTAAAATAAAAAATAAAAATTTATGTGATTAATGGAATAATTAAAAGTTTGCTTAGTCAAAGCAGTAGAATGAACATATTTTACAAAATATATGTATAATAAAATTATTCAGTTTATTCCCAGGGTAATTTAACTGGGCTGTAAGGCTAGGTCTCTGTCACTGTGTTAACTCCTAGTAAGACACTTCAAAGATGAGTCGAGGTTAACTTCGTGTTAGTTAATAGATTCCGGTCTCGGCAGAAACATCGTCTTTCATTGGGATGTAGATACATCCATGTGATGAGTCCCGAGTAGGATGAAATGTGACACATTACTGTTAAACAGAAACTAAATAGTCCCATGGGGTTTAAAGTATTAATATAGTCTCTTTCTGAACACCTTTTTATATAAGTGACAGCTTCTTGAGAAGAATTACTCGAATTTTTGGCTTCCTCATTGTAGTATAATTTACAAACTTAGACAGTGATCCTTATGTTACAGAATACGGCTAAAGTGCACTAAGTTCATTGAGATGAATGAATTCACACGGGACTAACAGACGTCCCTTTCGCTCATTATACGACTGATAACATCTCTGGCTGTCATAATAAGTGTAACAGTTAAAAGAATGATTTTGTCTTAGTCACCATTTTAGCTGAATAAACCGTACACTTAAGGGAAGACTACAAGGATTCCCATACTATTGGGAGACTGGAATAAACTTTTTATACATCAAGCTCACATACATTGTATGAATGTTGACAAAGTAGGCGGGGTGGAACTCGAAACCAGAATCCGTTGGTTGAATGTTAAGCCCCTGAACTAACAAGTCACATTCCCACTTTGTGAATGATAAACTCTAAGTCTTTTCAAGAAATTTAACCTCCATAAGTATTGTGTAACGAACCCATGAGACATTAAAGACAATTAATAAATGTTCAGGAGTAATCAGTCCAATTCTTAATTGAAATGCATCAAAGCTATCCTGAACACCATCGCACTAAGACAACAATAAACATAATGCCGACAGGATTAATTCCAGATATTCACATGTATTTATATCATCGAATATATAACAAACTTCATTCTTTTGATTATTATCTGAAATTTCTATTTCATCTTCCTTTATTTCTATTCCCCCCAATAGGCATGCATAGAAAATCATCCATGCAGTCCAGTGTAGAACAGGACACTAAAGAAGATCCAGTCTTGGATTCAAGTAACTGTGCTGCTCTGTCAAGTCCTGCAACTACGGTGACATGTTTAACTGAGTCGATACACTCATCAAATGAGTCAGACAAAATGAATCTTGACGATGAAGTACTGAATAGCAAAAATGATCTGAATGATAATAATAATAATAACAAAAACAACAACAGTAACAGCACAAATGAGGATCACGATGGCAATGAAGCTGATGACAGAGATGAAAAGAAACCTGATAATTATAAATAGCGATAATATCAACAGTCTATTTTCACTTTTTTTGTTCTTTCTTTTTCGTTTCTATATTGCCTTAGATCTGTTGACTTCAGAGATTGATCACTTCGTTTTTCCAGAAAACGCACATACACACACAAGTGAATTAGTTTACATAAATAAACATTACTACATAACATGCATCTATGACATCCACATATAATATCGTGGAAAGGAGACTATGCATGTAGGCATCAAGAAGTACAGCAACACTAACACCAACAATATGAACATGACTGCAATGATTAAAAAACCATAGATTATGTGAATTTCAAAATAAAACTTATTTCTATTCGAACTAACTTGTTCTCTACAAGCGACTCTTTCTTATGCGAAATAGTTGAAACTGGCATGAACCGTATTCGTGGAAGTAAATGTGTCATTAGCAAAAAAGACAAACAAGATTAGTTGATTTGACACTAGTAACTAGTGTGACGTGTCTAGTCCTCTCTTTGGTGCAGACTGAATTCTATCAGTCAGGTTGTAATGTGGCCACCATTCTAGGTAGCTCGCCATCACGGTGTACATTGTTTGTGATGATATTAGATGGTTGGAGGCAATCGGCAGGAAGCCTTGGACCTAGGTTTCGTGCTAGTTGGCACTCTTCAGCAAGGCGTATCTGCAACCTTGAAGGAACTGATGTCCCTTCTGAGATTCGAACCCGCGTCACCCAGTGTTGCAGTCAGAGACGTTACCACTGAGCTAGATTAGTGTTTACTTACTGTTCACATGAGCACGTTGCAGTTAACTTCAGAGCCTTTTCTATCAACAAACAGGCATTAAATTATTGAATCGTTGGTAATCATAAAGTATTGGTTACAATTCATATTTTAATTTATTATCAGTGCGCATACTTAGAAAACCTTTACACACATATACGGATCGTTAAATTTCCAAGCGAGTACTGAAGAGTAAATATTAGTGTTGTGAGAATTCAAGACAATTATTTACTTGCTTTATTAATTCTATGATGAGAAATCCAACAGAGGACTTTAGTTTTATCTAATTCATCTGAAAGTAATGTAAGACTTCGATTCAGTTTAAGATGATTCATTTCTGCGGTGACGCTAGACTTTATCTTCCAGATATGATCTATCTGAAGCATTTCAGGACTAGTTTGGACGTTCTAATAGTTTCATTGCTCTTATTATTGTTATTGTTCCCTTGGGTTCCTAGTGGAACATAGGACTTCAACTGCACGTCTCCACTTGCTTCTGTCTTCTGCTGTATTTTTCACCTGCATCCATGTTAGTCCATACTGTTTCAACTCCTCTTCACACGATCTCCTCCATGTCACCCTTCGACGTCCCACTCGACGCTTCCCTTTCGGGTTCCACTCGAGCTATGGCCTGACGCACGATGTCACCCAACGGCCTCCTCAGCGAGTGTCCAATCCATCTCCACTTTCTCCTGCATATCTGCTGGGCGATTGGTTCTTGTTTTGTTTGTTCCCATAGTTTCCTGTTGGTGATTCTTTCCGGCCATCTGACTCTGATTATAGAGCGAAGACAGTTGTTGATAAAGGTCTACAACAGGCTGTTGGAAATATTCTTTGTGACCCTCCATTGCTCTTAAGTTTTAGATTTTCTCAACAGAGTTTGCGAAGTCATCTAGAAATCTTCTGCATGAACTATCAATAAATATGAAATCTATATGGAAGCAAAACTTTGATATAACAAATGTTTTTAAATAAATAAATAGCTTTATTCTGAACAAATTGTTCACAAATTTTCTCAGCTTAGCTTACTGAATCGTATTTCCTTTTCATTCAGGATCTTCAATGAAAATAACAGTCCATAATATATTATATGAAGCTGTGGTTTTAGATCTGAAGTACTGACTAGTCTCTAATGCTATTTTTCTTCGGTCTCAGCAAAATGTGCACTGATAGTTTGGATGTCATTTGAAAATGTGAGTGAGTACATTCAGCGATTCATGGACATGGTTAACAAAATGAGAATTAGAGATAATATAATGCATTGTGATAAGTGGAAATTAAGGCAGCTCAGTAATTCAAGCGTGCATCGGTGGCGTAGTGGTAGGATACTTCGCTGACCACGTCTGTGGTTTCGATCCCCTGTCGATGTGCTACTTTACCTGACTAAGCCAGTTATTGGGCCGATAAAGATGGAAGGTTCGGCATGAGGCTAGCAACCCCACCCCGTAAAAATAAAACCACTGCTGCTGAAACTCCAAAGCTGTAGCTGGAGGACCTATTTTCCACTGGGAACTTGAAGGAATAGAAAAGTAAAATAGTTCAAGCAGGCTCAGTTTAATCAATCTTCATTGGTAGGTTTATAAGTGTTGGTATAATTCAAATACAGATTTAGTAACAAGTTGATACCAGGTAAAGAATAAATAAAATAATAATAATAATAAAATTAACAGGAAAACTTATTGTTAGGTTGAACTTCTACTAGACTGGCGGATGTTCATCAATAAAAAGCAATAACCACTGTTACGTATAGCTTTTTTTAACAGCTTTTCCCCTGATACCCAATGAAAATGTGGCATGCTTGATGATAATGAAATTTGTCAGTCACGCCAAGAGTCAATCATACTCGCGCCAACTAAATTTATCAAGTGTTTATGAAGTTCTGAGCCTATCTAGTCTTAATGAAAATTTTCCTCGCCTTATTTAGAGCGAAAAAAATGTGAAGGCTTAACTGTTTCCTGTTCAGCTAGTTAGTAGAGTCTGATTTTAAGAAAGCTATACAATTATACGAAACAGTCTAAAGTTTGTTGAAGTAAAACGGAAATTACGTACAGAGAAGAATCTTTGTACTGTGTGCTTTTTGAATGTGGTTGTTTGATTCATTTTGCTAAATTAGTTACAGAATGACTGAAACTACTGAAAAACGAAAACCATTAATAAAGATAAATCACCCAGTCTGAATATACAAAGTAATCCTGTCACCACAGTTGACTTAACTTTTTTGTGCAAACAAACAATCACTCGGTTTTGAATAAAGCAAGAACAACAGCTTTTGCAGAATAAAATGGTACCATCATTTATTTCGTCGGCCTCTCATTAGCTGCTTAAAACTCAAAGACATTTTTAGGTTTTTCTACAGAAACAATTTTAACATACCTGCACACAGTTCATTTTTAGACAAAAAATCAATATATGCATACAACGCTAATAATAATAATAATAATCACTTTATCCCAAACAACAATAATCATACATAATGGAATCTTTCATTGTTGCGTAATCGGATGAAAGAAAGGGTGACAAAATCCAGTTACCATGGCAAGGAAAACTGATAACCACCTCTTTCTGAACACACAAATCGGGTTTCAAGCGCTTGATGGAGATTACTTCGGCGAACTTAAGCAGAATTGAACTCTTTTGCTTATTGATAATTTTGAGTGATCTTCTGACGTCCACCTCATGACCCGTGTCAAGGAGATGCCTGGTGATGGCACTACTGGAAACATATGTTCCTTTGAGATGTAAGCTTTTCGGCACATGTTCAGAAAATCGGAGGTGTGCCCTTCTTTCTGTCCTTCCAGTGTAATGGCTTCCACAGATGCATGTAAATTTGTATGTACAGTTGGAGTTAACATGAGAAGGGTATCTGTCGACTTTTGACTGCACCAAAGAACATGTTGTCCGATAGACGGGAACCAAATTAGCTACAGGATAGGCTATGGCTAGTGACGTATTCAATCTTCTGTTGACTATTGTTGCAAAATTTTCTCACCCTTAAAATTTAGTTGAATGGAGACATGCATTTTTCCCCACTGTGATTTGTTTTTTTTTTGAGCCTTGACATCTTACATATTTGTTAATGAATCGGTTAGGGTAACCGCTGCTTTTCAACATCTTTCCAAGAAACTCAAATTCTTCCTCTAATTTCCCTATAGAGTATATTCTTCTCGCTCTATAGTATAGAGTCTTGACTAGACAACGTTTAAAATTATTTGAACAAAAGCTATTATAATGTAAGTATTGTCATTTCCAAATAGGCTTTCGATAAATTGACTTCTAAAGACTATCGTCTTCTAGGCGTTGCATGTCACTGTCGAGGAATTGGAACTTTCCGTCACTTCCATGTTCCATAGTAAACTCAATATTGGTGTGTGCATCATTGAATAATCTTAGTAAGTGTGAAGCATGACTTTCATTGTTGCACACTAGAAATGTGTCATCAACATATCGACCATAAGGAGTTGTTTCGTTGATTGCATGATTCAACTTTGTTCTTCCAAGGTTGGGCATGAAGATATCTGCTAAAGTAAAGAGTGTTGTCAAACTGGAATCGTACATCCATGGTAGGCGTTTGAATTCCGACCCTGGGAGTAGAAGAAGATCAGACTGTTGACAAATGTTCTCCATAGTTTCACTGATTGGGTACCTTCTGAACAAGGAGGTTGTATCAAATGACTCCATGAACTGATTTGAAACATTTATATGGTTCACAATTCCGGCGAAATGAAATGAGTCTTTCATGGGTTACACGGCTAGCTGTTAACGAATGAGTTCCAACTTATCTGCAAACCAACAAGCAAACTTATGTTGGGGATAGTTGATCATCAAAAGTATAGCTCTAAACCCGGGCCGACTGCTTGAAAGGCAGCCATGATAACCGCGATTTGATGGACATGTGCCGAAAAGCTTACATCTCAAAGGAACATATGTTTCCAGTAGTGCCATCACCAGGCATCTCCTTGACACGGGTCATGAGGTGGACGTCAGAAGATCACTCAAAATTATCAATAAGCAAAAGAGTTCAATTCTGCTTAAGTTCGCCGAAGTAATCTCCATCAAGCGCTTGAAACCCGATTTGTGTGTTCAGAAAGAGGTGGTTTGTTTCTGTAGATAAACCTAATAATGTCTTTGGGTTGTAAGCAGCTAAGCTGATGAGAGGCCGATGAAATAAATGATGGTACCATTTTATCCTCAAAAGCTGTTGTTCTTACCTTATTTAAATTCATAAAGGAGAATAAATGTATGAAACAACTTGATTTCT